CGGCGTGGGAGCGATGGATGACAGACGGAGACCACAGTTTCACAAAAAGTGGAAGGCAGCGCCGGGCAAGTTACGCCGGGAAATTGGCATGTCTGATTTAGCGCAGCTGTTTAATTCAGAAACAGAGGATGATGACTTCGACGGGTTTGATTAATACTTTGTAATAAATACGTGAATAAAGCACAAACATACTCAGTTTTGCTCCCGCTCTATTTTTAAATACGCAGTAGAGGTATTTAAACGTAGTAGAGGATATTTACCGGTATATAAAACCTGCGCCCTATAGACCGGTGCGCCTTATGTGTGTGTTAAATACAGTAATGGCACACATAACTGAGACTGCGCCTTTTAATACGGTGCGCCTTATGGTCGTGAAAATACGGTAATATCCCACGGTGTGAGCCACTACCTAACAATCAAGGGGCCAGGGATGAATGCTGACCTTAAGCCTCGCCTGTCGTTTTCAAGCTGTTCCTGTCAGCTGCAACTTCATGTCAAATATTTTTGGAAACGTCACTGCATCAGATCATAAGGCTGGAGAAGATAAGTGACTGAGAAACTCTGGGGTTTTTTTTTATAGCAAAGTAAAAAAGAGATGAAAACAAGCACACCCCACATGGTGTCCTGAACAGTCAGTGGATTTGTTTATTTTGGCCAAAAATAACTTTTCTAGTTTGTATTTCTGACAGATAAAAACTAAGTTTTGTCGCATTACACCACCATAGGGGAGCAACTTTATAGAAGACACAAATTTGATATTCTGTTTCTGTGGATTATTACAGACAATTGTGAGACATTAATGAAGAGTGTGGTTGTTATCTTTTGGAAGGAAAAAACAAATGTTCATAATGTTGGCAGTGAAAATAATCTAAATCACACCAAGCAATTAAAAATGGCCATACATCAGGGGCGGTATGGACCAGGTGACCAATGGTTCGTTGTTTGAGTATTTCTTCTGGGCTCTATATAATTCACTGCCTTCCAGAGATCAAAATATAATCAGCTATATGACCATTGTAATTTTTTACACTTTTCTCTGAAATCTGAACAGTGACAAAACGTTTAAAACTGAAGGACAAACAACTGAATTAACCCTCTCAATAGCTAAATCACAGCAGAAGGAAATCAATACTTATCAATTAAATAAAAGATAAGTGGAACCCCATAAATCCGACATAAATTACTGCCAGGGCACTTCAGAAAACTCAGAACATCACAGCGTCTGTGAGCTAAAATATTCTCTCTGATCAGCATCTTCTTACCCGGTTTGCCTGTCTCCGATGATGAGCTCTCGCTGTCCACGGCCGATGGGGACCAAACTGTCGACAGCTTTGATGCCAGTCTGCATTGGCTCCCTCACAGAGATACGGGGGATGATACCAGGGGCCTTCAGACCCACCCGCCTGCGGATCTTGGAGCCAAGGGGGCCCTATGGAGAGGAACGAGAATCAAACGCATTCTGTTGCTTTGAACTCACACACATTATCTGAACTATTACTGGAATAGCTTCTAGTGATAAAACAACCAATGTGTTTATGATGAGTACCTTTCCATCAATTGCATTTCCCAGAGCATCAACAACTCTACCGAGGAGCTCTTCACCAACAGGCACGTCAACGATGGCACCGGTTCTTTTGACAATGTCGCCCTCTTTGATCAGCTTGTCATTACCAAACACCACCACGCCAACATTGTCAGGCTCCAAGTTCAGGGACATACCCTAGAAAATAAAATGTTTGATTAAAGAAAAAAAAAAAAAAAAAAGATGTTAAAACATTGCACAAAATTTCTACAATTATAATAAAATTGACATCATCACCTTCAGACCAGAGGAGAACTCCACCATCTCCTCCGCCTGCACGTTCCTCAGGCCGTAAACTCTGGCAATACCATCACCAATGGAAAGCACGCGGCCAGTCTCCTCTAAATCAGCGCTGGTGTCAGCTCCCATGATCTTCTCCTCCAAAATGGAAGACACTTCAGCTGTGCCTTAGTAGAATAAATCATACATAATATTAATAGATGCTTACAAAACAGATGAAAATCAATGAAGGCCAAGATGATCTTCGTAACTAACTGACCAGTTTTTTGGAACCGTGGCTGGGCGGTGTGCAGGTTCTTAGCCCCGACACAAGCTGCAGCGACATTCTTGGATATCTGTAGCACAGAAAGAAATAAAGTAATTCAGTTCATACCATCAGCTGGCATTGGCTAGTTACCTCTTTAAAGGCTGTACTGCATTTAAGAATTATGTTTAATAACTGCTACAAGTTTCTATCATTCATATGTGTTCTAGTCATTTAAAAAAAATACACGGAAATGTCAATGATTGAGGTTAGATTTGACTAGATAGATTGTATTGAAGCAGCTTTACCCATAGATGCTGCTTTACACTGTAGGGTAGCTGACTACAAGTGAGGTATAGCAAGGTTTTACAAATCTGGGCCTTCAAAAATGCTAAAATGTTTTTAATAGATCCATTAATTTAAAAGGACTGTCAGACAAAGTTGTATAAAACATTAAGTATTAATACTCTGCTACACCTCATTCGCTGCAAAGCACTGCATATCAGCTGGCTGAAAGAAAGCTACTTTAGTTTGTTTGCTATCTATGACAACAAAAGAAAATTGTGGCCGATTGTAAAAATATGATCACTAAAACAAAGAGCAATTTAAATAAAGTTATAAGTAACAAAATAATCAGCCAGAAAATAACCAAAGTTCTATTTTCGGCTACAGCCATCAATTGTTATAATAATCAATTGATCCAACTTTGAATAAATTAACATTCCTAACTAAACAACCATTTTTAAGTTACAAAAAAGTTTCAATTAACATCACATCTATTTTTTGTGAACTTTTTGTCATCCAACTACATTTGTTTGATGTTCTGAAACACTTAAGTGACAAAGTGAAAATAAAAAAGAAATCAGGAGAAACACTTTAAAACCACCATATCAGATAGGACAGGGGGAAAAAATAGGTTTTCATGTGTTTTATGAGTGTTTAATGAGAGATATTATCTACCCTTTAAATACTGTTTTATAGAAAAGGGGGTGAAAAAAAAATTGAGGAAAAAAAAATACTAGGGCAGAAGGCTCCACAGCTTTGCAGCATTTGCTACAGGCCCAGCAGGTTCTGCAACAGCTTTTTCCCCACTGCTATCGGACTATTGAACTGTTAAACTCTAAACTGGACTGCATCACAATTGCAACATTATTTTGCACCACCAACATGGTAGAAACTTTTATAATCCTTTTAAATAAGACACAACTCAATGCTATACTGCATTTTGCACCATATTTATTTTGCACTGCACTGAACCTTTCCATATTGATAACCTTTTGCATATATTTTTTTTTTACTGGTTTTTCTTTCCTCCTATACCGTTTACTGCTGCGCTTTAAATAATAATGTTCATTTAATTGCTGTAAGCTGCTCATTGCACTGTGGAAGCTGTAAGCAATATAATTTTGTTTAGTATACAGTGAGGTTACAAAATGACAATAAATTACATATAACTTATGCTTCCCATCCAGGAAGCTTTACAATTCAAACTGTTAGAATTAGTATTGAGTTGGAGGCTTTAAAACATTGCCTTATTTTGGCTTAAAAATTTTGCAAATTGAACTAGACCAACATGTCTGCCTGGGGAGTCGTTTGGGTTCTTTGTTGGCTGCAATACCCGATACTGGTCTATTCCTCTGAGAGGGGGGTCATCAGGGGGAATTGTTGGCCTGGCTGAATAGGCGAGATGTTTTGGAGCCCGATATGGGGGAAGGGGTGATCATGGGAAGAAATCATCTTTCAATCATTTTGAAAGCTGAAACCTGAGTCCAATCCCCCCCCCCCCACCCCCACCCCCGGTAAGGTTTTTCTCTTCCTTAACATAAATGGCCTCCTTCACACCCCTTTCAAACCACCTGTCTTCTTTGTCCAAAATGTGACATTCTGGTGATCAAATGAGTGTCCTTTGTCCATAAGGTGTAGATGGACAGCCGAGTCTTGTACTGAGGTGTTGCTAAATTTTACATTCCTGGATGGGAAGCAAAACGTCTTCAAACTTGGAAACAAAATCCATTGGATTGTTTATAACTTCTTTGGAATAACCTGGATGACTGAGAACTTTCACCAGCTAATTACAATAAAGTTTGTCTAAGTCTCTATTTGTTGCAAGAACAACTACTTGTTGATAGATCAACTGCATTTACAATAAATTAAAAAACTAGACATTAAAAATATAATTAAAACGTATTGCCAAGTTTGACATTAGCCTGAGACTGACGTCAGATTGTCTGCTGGATATGTTTCATTAAAAGCCCTCATTGATCATAATTCAGCACATAAAATAAAGTGGCAGTGTAGTTAAAATAAATGAAAGCCCTTTGTGTTATCTCTTCCACTAAAGATTTATTATAGACAGATTACCACTAAACTAATCAACAGCTGCGGTAGCTAGCTAAAAGAGAAACAAGCCTTTCTTTAAAGTTTAAAATTACACAACATTCACCCCTGTGGAGAGGGGGACAAATTCCGCTCAAACACTTAAAAAAAAACAAGTTTTATTTAAACCCTTTTTGAATTGTATAGTAATCTCCTGTGCATGTCAGCTGAATAATGTCAACAGAGGGGACTGGGAATGTGAAGGGCTCCGTGTCCTCCAGTGCAAAGACGACGGAACAGCAGCGGGATTTATGTAAAAATGTCGCTTATAACAGGTTATTGTAGAATAAAAACAAAGCGGACATAGTTTCGAAGTGCTTACATGTCCAGTTCGCCGTGGAAGGTTGCGGGCAAGAGCCGCTGCGAGCCGAACAGAAAGCATGTTTGAAACCAGAGGATCTGCACTGCTCCCGGGGCCGAGAGAGAAGGATGGCGGAGAAGGCGGAGCTTGGTATGGACGTCACTGCGACCCGGAAGCACTTCTTCTTCTTCTATAATTTATTGGCGGTTGATGGTGCATTACTACCACCAACCAGTAAGGAGTGTAGATGAGGACAAACATGCTCCAAAAAAAAAAAAAAAATTTTTTTTTATTTATTTTCGCTAAGCCTGCTACCAATAAATAATGAAACATAAATCTATAACCTAAATTGTAATTGTAAGTGCTTTTACTTAAAATATTTATTAAACAATACTGCTCTTTTTCCTTTTCAAGACTCCTTATCAGCTATGTTCTTTGTCTTTGATATTTCCTACAGTTATACATAACATGTTCTATCGTTTCAAATTCCCCACATACATTGCAACTTCCTGTTTCATGTTTTCCCATTAACTATAATGTTGAATTAAGTCCTGTACGTCCCAACCGTAATCTTGTTATTATCCTTTCCTGTATTCTGTTCCTCCCAATTTTCCCTCAAACTTCCCCAACCTTCCTTTGTATTCTGTACAACCATCTTCCTTTTATATCTTCTTCCCATTGTTTTTGTCATTTTTCTTTAATCTTTCTTTTAATAATACTTTTTAACCCCTGATTTTCTCAAAACAATATTTGTTGAATTTCTAAAAATAAATATCTGGATGGCTTTGACCTGGAAGAACTTATTCTTTTTTTTTTTTCTTTTATAAAGTAATCATTTTATTTTAATACAAATGCAAGAGGGTATTCTATAGTAGATAAGAAAAAGTACATACGATAAAAAAAATAAAAAAAAAAGATTGTTCTGGGTATTTTGCAGACTGTTTTTGCCATGAGAGCAGGCCAGTGATCTGCTGTCCCAACACACAACTGCTGCTGGAACTGATACATTAGTAATACTGCTCCCCTTCCCAGCCAGGTCTTTCTCAACATGTTGGGAGGTTCTTCTCAGTTTTTTCTTCAACTCTATGCAAAGACAGCTTGCAACAATATGAACATTACTTACAAAATCAATTATCAAAGTAGACCCTGGAAAATCGGTGAATGCAATCAACATGCAGGGGTAGCAAAGCAATGCAAAGCTTAATAGTATACTGTAACCATTCACATTTTAACAGTTTAACATTATTAAATGTTTAAATTCTGCAAAATAAACTATAGAGACATGAATGTACCCCCTTTATTGATGAGTATTTCATTTTTCCTATCAAATAATGTCATAATGATTCCTTATTTTTTAAGGTTTTTGATGAGTCAAGCAGTGAGGCTCCTCCTTGCAAAGACATCTGCAAAAAAGGCATAAAAATTCCCTCCAGAGTGAAGTGAAAAATTTAAACACCACAATTTTCTCTCTTAGGGTTTCATCTCTCATTAGTTCACTAAATCATAAAAGTGGAGGTTAATGGGTTTGTTGGCGAAATGCTAAAAAACCCATTAAGATGTCTAGAAATTCAAGCTGGGGGCAGAGTGCTGTGGGGGTATTTTTGGCCTTTTTGGTGGGTGGGGGATTGAAAAATACAAAATTATGTTCCATTTGGAAAAAAAAGAGTCTGTTTTTTACTTTGGACATTTAAATGTACCTCAGGGAATTTTGGCCAGGATAATTAAAAGATTGATAAAGAAAATATGTCAATACCTTTTCTTGTGCTGCAGAAAAACAAGGTAGAATGTTTTCCGATAGAAGCTAAAAATATAGTGAAATAATTTATTGTATGTGGAAAAAAATTCTTTAAGGGATTTATTATTTACGGTATATTATTAAGAGTACTTTGCACCTTCTTTTTTGGTTTTTGATTGATTACAGCATTGTTCAAATACCAGATAAAGATCATGAAGCCTTACACAATTAAAAAGCAGGCCTTTTGTTACTCTGCAGCACAGTATTTTTGACAAATATTTGTGCCAACTCCTTTCAGTAGAAGAACAAACATTAAATGGTACATAACTGCATGTTTCTAACAGCACAACACAAATTTACTATGATCCTATTGCTAAACAACATGTCTCCATTAAAATAAATATACCAAACAGATTGTTTAAATAAATACAGGATTAAATGTGATCATTTTTACATTAAGTCACTTTTTTAATCATTTGGGATGTATGTCAAGATCTTAGAATTTACTAAATACAACCATAAAAATAACATTAAGTCTAATCAAAGGTAGCCTGCATAAGTGCAAGGAAATATATTATATATTAAATGTAAGCAGAACTCTACTCTTTTAGCTTTCACTCATGCATTATTAAAAAGTTGTAAAAAAAATATGTTCCCCAAATCAAAGTTAGGATTGATTCTTTAGAGTTCTTAAAGCCAAATATACTTTTTCATACATCTTGCAAGGTGTTTTAAAATAATAAAAACACTAAGCACTGTCATTCTAGTTATTGTGTAATATCTATTTACTTTCAAAGATTCTAATTTAAAAGCAAATCTGTGGCTTTGAAATGAAGTGTAATATCAATGTATTGATTTTGGTGTCAATCTTATGATAAAGTTGTACATGCAGTCTTGACCAGATTGGACTTAACTGTACTCAACTTCTGCTGAACCTGTCATCAAAAAACATCAGCTCACTCAGTTTTTTCAGAAGTCAGAACTTCCATGTTGCTGCGTATTTTTTGAAAAATAATTTTGAAATATTTCCTGACTGTTTCCATCAGCAAACAACTCAGCTGAGCACCCAATCTGTAGACATGTAATACATAAATATTTTCACAAGTATCTTTATTTTTGTTGTAGTTTTTTTTATTGTGGATATTTTCAATTCAACATTTGAATTTTCTAGCTCTCCATCCATGATGAGGAATACATCTTCAACTTGAGCTGATTGTGGAACAAGCCCCATTCCCATTGCTCTACCCATATTGATTGATTGATTGATTGATTGATTGATTGATTGATTGATTGATTGATTGATTGATTGATCTCACAGTGGAGAAATGTACTTGTTACATCAGCTCAAATAGTCAAAGAAGAAGAATGTGCCAAAGGAGGTAAGATGCTAGCAATAACTAATAAGCTGAGGAAAATGAGGTCCAGTAACCAACATTTGGAGTTAAGTTTTCCGTTCCTGCTGGTGGCCATAATGAAATATCTAATAAAGAACAACTTTGATCAACACATCATCAAGTTTTACCACAGCTTCAGCTCCAACTCCTGTCTGGTGTTTGAATTGTGTGACAGTCTAAATAAATGCATTTTGCAACAAGGCCCTTCTATGGATTTACAGGACATCAGAGAAGTTATAAAGCAAGTATGGCAGCAACTGAAAAAAGTGTTATATCCATGCAGAAGTTGAGAATATTTAAGATGCAGATGCAGTTTGTGTTTTTCCTTTTTTTTATAATAAAAGCTTTGGACGCATTGAGGAAATCTGACACCACCACCCATACTGACCTGAACACAAATAATATGGTAGTGGATGAAAAGAGAAAGCCATTGAAGGTTAAGCTGATTGACTTTGGCTTGGGTGTCTTTACACACCAGGCTAATCACACTATCCATCCATGTCATTCACATAATCAAGATATGTCAAAATACTTTGTTACCGCTAAATTGATAAATTCCTTCTACAACCTTACATTCGACTGCAATATTAGGAAATAAGGGCTTTTTAGTGATACAGTAATATCACATATATTTTCTAGGTTTAGGTTTCCTGAACTCATATTGGGGCTCCCATGTTCTGCAGCTATAGATATCTGGTCACTGTGATTTGTAACGGCAAAGATGCTTTTGTGCTGTGAACCTTTCCTCAGTGAATAGGAAAATGTGAGCTTACTGGACTTGTATAGCTTTAAAATATATTTACTATATATATACTATATAAACACATTTTTTTTCCCTGTAATTTCTAAATTTTAAAGTCTCATTATTAAAAATGTGTAAAAATCTCCAAAAAGGTTTATGTAGCACAGTGTAAGAGGCTGCCTCCCTCCCCACCCCTGTTGCTGTGCAGTGCCGTTCCCCTGTCTTAAAAATGAGCAATACACTTTTTCCTTGCAAATCAGTAAGACAAATTCCGTTTACAAAAAAAAAACAATTACTGCATTTAGCCTTTTGAAAAAGAGAAATAGCAATTCATCTAAAAATGTGTGCAGGATTTCACTAATATATTTTTTTCTGAAGCATGAAATACATTTTCTATTAAGTTTTTAAGGAGTTTACCCGTAAAATAATATTTTCATAACAAATATCTATTGAAAAATCCATTAGGAAATTATAATATTTTATTAAATTTCTTGTAGAAAAAAAAAAATGCATGGACATGAATGAAAATATTAGAAGAATGAATGTATTATTTATTTAAACACTACATCCTAAGCAAAGTGAATATAAAAAGGACTGTGTTTTTTTATATTTAGGCAGAATATAGTTTAGATTTTTCAGTGTTTGCTTTTTAGGTATCAAGATAAGATGTTAGTTTCTTTTGCATCTCTTTTGTCTGGAGGCTCTTCACTCTTTACTGAAAGTATGAATGCATACCCAAATAAATAATATAACAATAGATCAAAACAGATATTTATGGGAACCACAATCCAACATGGCACCCTGGTTGCCTGTGCAGTGTCATCAAATGCTTTCAGAATGCTAAGCTAAAAACTGATCTTCAAAGAGGACTTGCTCTTCTGCTAGGAAAGCCAAACAAGGCCATGAAAATCAATAATGTTTTGGGGAATTTTGGAGACATTCTGCTGAAATCAGCTTTTAACTGAATATAATACCAAAATAACTCCACAAAAACGTCTCATGATTAATGTAAGCTTTCTGAATAGTGTTGTCTCCTATTTAAAATATGTTTCCCTTTCAGAATTTTAACATTGCTTTCATTTGTCATCCAATGGTGTGATGATCAATGGTGCATTAATAATATTAGGAAACCTTCATGGCCCCTTGTTTTGTTTTCTATCAGAGTTCAGTGTAGCAATTTTCTGGTGAAAAAAAAATATGTGACAGCAGTTTTTAGAAAAAATTATTTTGAGAGGTCAATTCATTGCTGTTGAAAATCTGTTTTTTTGTTATATTGAACCTTAAGAGAGGGCTCAAT